GGTGCGGGGTGCTAGTCGGGCGGGTGGCAGCGTCTGTGTTTGGCTCGCTCACGTTCAGGGAGAAACACTATGGAAGTGCTCCCGTTCCTTGCTGGTTTTGCCTTGCACCGTACCGGTAGGGCCAGTTCCAGCGTTTGTCCCTGTGTTCGTTCTAACCTTGTCCCTGGGGAGGCAGCTCTCCTCGTTTTAGGATTGCCAATACTCAGTGTCTATGTTAAATCGTGTCTTTTTTTTGCAGTGAAATGGAAACAGAGGTCAGCACTCTCCAAAACAAAATCAGGAAAAGTTTTTTGATAAATACAGGAATCTGAAGCATCTTGTTCATTGACCACTTAGACTGTGATACCTGAAATTTTACCATTAGCACGATAAACCGTTAGTATGGTGTGGCAGGAGCTTCTGGTGTGGCTTCCATAAAGTAACTGTGTGCTTTCTTCATCAATCGGAACTTATTAACTATGTCAGTAAACTAGGAGTTACAACAAACATCCTGAGGACACTAGAACAGAAAGGCCTTACGAAATCAATGCTGTGGGAATGGCTGTTGCAAGTAACTGGCGTATGGCTTTTCTCACAGGTTGGCCAAGGTTGAGCTTAGAAGTACCCAGGCTTTTATTTTGTTGTGACTGTTCATTTTGGATAACTGTTCCAGAGCTTGCTTTCTGTGGTCATTAATGATCTTTTAGTTTCAGTCTAACTTTATTCATAGCCAGTTAATAACCATTCTTGTGCTTGCGTTATCCTTTATATAGCCCTTCTTCTTTGTGGTTCTGCCTCATAGTGTATTTGGAGAGAGCACTTCTGTTTTCTCATGCTTTATTTTGTTAAATTAAACAAGCTAAAATCTTTTGGTTTGTAATACTGATTTTCAGTTTCCTTGCTCATCATAGCTCATCTTTGCATCTGTTCCAGTTTCAATTCATCTTTCTTGGAACACAGCTGACCAAAATTTTATGATCTTCATGTCTTTTACTTAAAAAAAAAAAAATCTTTTGAAAGCTCCTTAAAAAAACGACTCTACAGGAAGGTGGTAGTTGTTGGGCAAAAACTGTGATGTAAATGAGAGTTCATCCTAGCTGATCACAAAATGTTAACTGCACGAGTGTTTTTGACATAGCATTCTTGTGTAGCAATATATTGGTAATATTCTTTAATAAAACCAATTATTACAAATGGATGAATGTTAAACTGAATAAAACCAACAAGCAATAGCATGCTATATGGCTCGCTCTGCTTCTGGGGATTAGTGACTTTTTAATGGCAGTTTAATGGGTGTTTGTCTGTAGTACAGCTGTAGTTCTAGCTTTCAGCACAGGCAGCTTCATCTTGGAGAGTGTGGCTTTCTTTTCCAGTGAAGCTTAAAGCGATACACAGGAGATAAGCTGTTGACCACCTCTCAGAATTGAACTATTCTTTTCCTGCTTGACGTTTCATATTTAAATTGAAGTGTAGAAGCTGCATAATTTTAAATCCTCTTGTACGATTAACTTTCACCTCATTCTTAAAAATAATCTTAGCTTGTTCTAGAAGTCTGTGGCTTGTATTGGAAAGGAGCGTGCATTGAAAAGGTGCTGCGGCTCTTTACTGACTAAAGATGCTTTCATGTGATCAGTGTTTTTACTGGAAGTTGTCAGTTGTTCTATGTATTCTTTTAAAGAACGATAAATTACAAAATTCCCTTCCTAGGCAGACTGGGTTGTGTGTCGCCTAATGAAGACAAGGAGGGGGGGGGGGGGTGGAGCAGTTTTAGTCTTACCATAGATCGCATATGACTGTTCTGGTATGTGTATCAAACATCTATAGAATTTACAGATACTTAGTTACATGTTTAATGTAAACAAATTGACCGAGTTTTCTTCCCAAATTTGGATGCTTAACTATAAATAGCCTGACTTTTAAATATGTCAAACTCTGCAGCTCCCGTTGACCTAATTGGGATCTGTGCACATTCAGCACTCTGGAAGATCATGCTGCTTATTACAGACCTAACTTTAAATGCCTGCGTGTATAAATATAAGTAGATAAGAAGGCACTTCAATTACTGAGTAGTGATACTTTGACCATCTGTGTGGGGGTTTTTTGGTTTAATATCTACAGGATAACAGTTCTTTTGCATTTCAGAAAAAGTAATAGTGGCAGTAAATTGGGCTGTGAGAGGGTTGTCTTTCGAGGTAATTTTGTGTTCCATCGAGTGTTGAAATAGGATGACAGACAGTTGCCCTTTTACAAATTCAGCTTCATTGTTAATGAATATTGACTTCATGAAACAGTTTAAATAGTTTGAACTAATAATGAACAATTTGAAATTTAAATTTTTTATTCCCATTTCTCATATAAAAATAACGCTTATCATCCTTGTGTTTCTATAAGCTATTGCAGATCACAAGCCTCTGGTAAAGTAATAAGTGGAGAGGAACATTTTTCAAGCAAAAAGTGCCTGGCTTGGTTTTATGAGTATGCAGGTAATATACAATGGATTCATATTAAAAACAATATGGTTTTGTTTAAAATGAACAGATACATCAAATATTATTTGTTTTGCTTTTTTGTATCCTGATGTAGACATAAAAAAATATGTCGCTTCCTTATAACATGCACTTGAATTAGTATAGTTTTTGCTATCGCCTCTTCAGTATTCGTTCTTTTTGACTTCTTTACGCTTTATAACTTACAATGGTGTTCTTTAAATAGAAATAACTGATGTTGGACAGTACAGTGTGGAGTCTCAGGATATATGGAATGATTCTGCTTCTTGATTTGAGATGGACAAGTAGAAGTCAGGACATGGAGAGACAGTTTAGATAGAAGTTTATTTATGTAACTGGTCCTTGTTTATAATCAAATTGGAAGGATAATGAAGTGGTTCATGATTTAAGCCTCTTGGTTTTTCTGGTTTACAAACTAAAATAATAGATGCTTATACTATTTTTCCTCTCTGAGAATCTGTCTTAACAGTTTTGTTATTTTAAATAATGACTGTTTCATTCAAAAGTGTTAGAAGTAGCCTCTGTCAAATTCATCAGAATTGCTATCCAAGTAATAATTGCTTTCAGTGAATATGCAGTGTATTTTTCAGAATTTTATTGGACTATCACTGCCACTTATTTACCAGTTATATGGTCAGAAATTCAGGATCCATAAACTTATTAATTTCTCTTCTTGTCTAGTCACTACTTGAAGTCCATCATAACGTTAGTGATTAAAACTTATTTCATACTGAGAACTGGTCATTAATGAGCTGATGATTTATCTGCCAGCAATTGATTTGAGTGTATTTATCAGCACTAATGTTTTCCTTGCTGTCTTTATGACAGCTGTAATGAACTACAGCTGATTCTCGTAATCTGCTTTCTGATTTTGGTTTGAGGCATAGTCTTTTGAAGTAAAGAGTCTTTCCTGATGAAAATAATAAAGCTCAATTAATTCTCTTCTAATAAATGCGCCTGCACATACTTCAATTTTTTTCAAGCCTGTAAATTTTGTTTTTATTGTGATTCAAGAACTGAGTGTAGGGGGTTATACTTTGTTAGTTAACCAGTAATCAAAATATCCATGTTTCTATCATAAAGTAGAATTCCAGCAAAATTACACACCATAGGAGGTTGAATGTTTCCATTAAAAGAGAAAATTACACACACGTGTAGATATATGAATTGTACGTGATTTCTGGGCCAAAAACACTAATTCGAGCTTGTACTTGTCATTACAAGTGAACCCTTGTATGTTTTTCTCTTCATAACTTAAGCTTGCAATTTTTTTTACACTTTCTATGTAAGGGCTTCTTAAAACCAGATGGCAGTGTTTTGTCTTGCTTACCTAGGTGAAATTTCTTTGAAATGTTTTTCAAGAGGTAGGAGTTCATGATCTGAAATGCCAGTTGCATTTTATTTTCCTGTAAAAGTAGCCATTCTCAATGGTTTTTATTGACTATTGTTATCTCATGGTGAATAATTATTCAAAGTACGGTATCCGAACTCTCAAAAAGGATTCTGCTTACAGTAACAGCAGTGGATATCGATGAAGTGGAGACGGGTACCATCAAGGGAAAAAAAAAAAAAAGAAACTGTTCTGTCTATGTAGAGATAGCAGAGTTTGCCAAAAAATCGTAAAATGGCACATTGCTTTGGAAGGCAAAGCCTTTACCTTTTACATGGGTTCGTATTTACTAAAACGTTAACTTAATGATCCAAGACACATTAAATTAACATGTCAACAGGCCCTCTAATAATATTTGGTTGTCCAGTAGGAGTCGTTTTGGAACAGGCTTAGCAGACATAACCGAAACCAGAGAGAGATTTGGAGAAACAAAGCATTGTAGAGTGTGTCTTTATGAGCTCTTTAAATACGCGATTTTCCTGCTTTTTAGAGGCTTTCTTTGTGTGACAGCATAACACTTAACTGTTATGGTCCTAATCAAGTTATTTTCATTGCAGTCATAAACCTTTTTCTGCTTTGTACGTCTCTAACATGCTTAGCATTTTTCTGATTTATTGTTACCGCTCTCTTCGTGTTACTCCGCATCATAAATCTAACCTTACATTGTTTTAAGATTGATCCACTTCTGTGTTAGTGCAAACCCATAATGTTAACAACATTTAAAGAGTAGTATCTGTAATGGTAGCTCAAACAGAATTTTTTTTTTTATTATTGATAAAATAACTCTTTGAAGAACATTATTCATAGAGTAACTTCAGCACAGAGTAGCAGTACCCAAGTTGTCTTAAAAACAATTGACTGCCACGATTATTGGAGTTGAGCTATAGAACCATAGCATGGTTTGGGTTGGAAGAGACCTTAGAGATCAACTAGGTCCAACCCCCTTGCCATGGGCAGGGACACCTTCCACTAGACCAAATTGCTCAAAGCCCTATCCAGCCTGGCCTTGAATACTTCCAGGGAGGGGGCAGGATGGAGTTATGTCAATGGGAAACTCAATGGAGTCTTCTGAAAACTCACATACATGAACAAAAAGAGCTTTTCTGCTGTTATAGGGAGACAGTGCACAACATAAAAGTTCTGGTTTAGTTTTGCTTTTCGTTCATAGTGTTAACTTCATACGTAAAATACATGTCTCCACGTTGCAGTTGGTAGAATGGTTCTAACACAAAAGCTACTTAATAGTGTAATTTGGTGTTTTTGAAGATAGCTTGTATGCAATATAGTCTAATTATTGTGTGTAACCCTTGTGAGCAGTGAATTTTATGTAGATTTCAGTCTGGTTTCTTTTTGGTTTTGAAGGTCCTGATGAAGTTGTGGGGCCTGAAGGAATGGAAAAGTTCTGTGAAGACATCGGTGTTGAGCCTGAAAACGTAGGTTTCTTGCATGATACTAATAACATTTTTGAAAGGGGGTATTGAATAAGATTAAGTTTGGTGTAAAACTCTTAACTTTGGTAAGCAGAGAATTGTTTATCTTCCTGCTTTTAGGAGCTGCTCTAAGATATTTCAGCTGAATACATCAATTATGCGTGGCTGGTGTGTGAGGTTTTTTGTTTTATTACAGTAATGCTTCATTTTCAGAAATTGAAATTAAGGGAAAGATTGCACATAGCTGGATTATTAGATGGTAACAGATAGAATGTGCAAGCATGTACAGCAATTGCTAGACTGTTTGAATGCTTAAAGTTTTCTTCCTGGACATCTAGAAATCAGCTTTTTGTTACATACTGCCTCCTTTTTCTCCCCTTGCTTTTTTTTTTTCCTCCTAGATTATTATGCTGGTTTTAGCCTGGAAACTAGAGGCTGAAAGCATGGGATTTTTTACCAAGGAAGAATGGTTAAAAGGAATGACCTCATTACAGTAAGAGTGCTTTTACATATATAATAGAATGTTCTAATTTTATGTTTGTACGAGTAGCTTAATTAACCTTGCCGTCAGTTTCTTGTGCATTAGCGATAAGACGCAGAAACTCTTGCTTTTAGGTCTGGTCTTTGTCAGCAACTGGAAGTAGCTACTGTTGTTCACCAAGTTGTGAATCTGATGAGTTCACTCAAGTTATAAAGTTTTGTCTAACCCTAATAAGTCAGGTTTTGGTGGCTTCTTTTTCTTAGAAAAAGTGTGTTAAAATATTGTTCTAGTTAGCAGACACAAATAAGTAGAACTGGAGATACCCATAAGCATATCTCAGCACTGGAACTCTAGAAAGTTTTTACTGATTTCTAAGCTTTATAGAGGGGACTGCACTGATAATAATTTTGGTTATTAGTGTTGTTTAATAGATGCAGGTCAGAAGCCATGCTTAGTGCTTAGATTAAATAACGTTTTTTCAATTTATAAATAAACTTCTCACTCCTGTTTGTAAGAATTTTTGGTGAGGTAATGCTCTGCCTAAAGAGGTTGTTTCTTTCAAGAAACTAATCAGCTTTTTGTGAGGCTTAGTTCAGTTGTCCTGTCAGTTGTGAATTGGTTTGGGAAATTGTATTGGGCAGATACCCTCTGGTTATTCAAGACTATGAAGTAAGTGTCTGTGGCCTGACTCTGTGCAAATCTTATTTGATTTGGGATAAGGCTTCTGATAGTCACAAAACAATCAAGGCATCTATCAGAAGCTCTTAAATTTCTTAAGAGACAAAATGATTAATTTAACTGAAATTCAGGATGACGGAGATTAAATTCTGGGTGCATAAATTTTTAAATGCAGTGAACAGGTATAATTTGGTCACTTCTCTGAAGTACTTAATTTTTATGCCCAAATGGAAGCTCTTGAGAGTTAGCCAGTCTAGCAGAATGCAAGCACAAAGATGTACGAAATCAGGCACCTCTTCAGAGCCAGTATTATAAACTTTGAAGTAATTGTGGAATGGTTTGGGTTGGAAGGGACCTGAAAGACCCTCTAGTTCCACCCCCCCTGCTATGGGCAGGGACACCTTCCACTACACCAGGTTGCTCAAAGCCCCATCCAGCCTGGCCTTGAACACTGCCAGGGAGGGGGCAGCCACAGCTTCTCTGGGCAACCTGCTCCAGTGTCTCATCACCCTCACAGTAAAGAATTTCTTCCTTGTATCCTGTCAAAATCTCCTCTCTTTCAGTTTGAAACCGTTACCCCTTGTGCTATCGCTACACTCCCTGATCAAGAGTCCCTCCCCACCTTCCCTGCAGGCCCCCTTTAAGCACTGGAAGGCTGCTATAAGGTCTCCCTGGAGCCTTCTTTTCTCCAGGCTGAACAACCCCAACTCTCTCAGCCTGTCCTCACAGGGGAGGTGCTCCAGCCCCCTGATCATCTTCATGGCCCTCCTCTGGACTTGCTCAAGCAGGTCTATGTCTTTCTTATGATAGGGACCCTGGTGACTATGGCCACAGTAACTCCCAGCTTTCTGCCAGGCAGTGCAGGTACAAAGGAAATCTGCTGGCCATTCTGCTTTTGATGCAGCCCAGGATGCAGCTGGCTTTCCAGGCTGTGAGTGCATATTGCTGGCTCGTATTCAGTTTTTCATCCAC